TAGCATGCTAGTACGATCCACAGCATTGGCCAACTTTTTCAATGCACTATTCATGGCTAAGAGTTCGCACGTGCAACGCTGAGCTGTCTTGTAGTACAGCCTTTTCTACTGGCTATGCCAGTAGACGTTTGTCTAGCTATAAAAGCCTAGAACAAGTGCTCAGAGTTCACTTGGCTTCTGTTATTCAGCAAGGTTAGCGCTCAGTATACGATTCTTGTAAAATATTTCCCTCCCTCCCTCCCTTTGGAGACGAGGTTTAGGCTTCGTTTTGTGCTATGCGGTCAAATAAACTAGGGACACTCCTGCGCGGTGCGGTTAAGTCTGCGCAGCGACTTCCCCCAAGCTTGTTGGCCACGTTGCCGTTTAATATCACCTGCAAACCGATACTCTTGTCCGATCCAGCACGTGCTGTATTGCATTCAGCTCGTAGTGCTGGGGAGATAAGTGAGGTTCTTTGGTCACGCCATCGCTGGAAGTCGCATTAGGCTAACCTAGCGCAAGGCAGTGCTCCCCCATTAACGCCAACTTGTCATTGTTTGTTTTTATAATTCAGTTATGCGTTTAACATACATCGCGAAGGAACAGAGACATTAATGGACTGATATAGTGGTCTTTTAACAGAATTCGAGTTTGATCTTGAAATCCATATTTGTGCACTGACGTAGTAATATTATTAATGGAGTATGATTGCAATCTATTCCACCCTGCGGGACATCTAAAGACAGACAAAATACATTGGCAATTGTTGTCACGACTGGACCACTATTCGACAAGTTTTCTTTTACAAAAATCAGTGTCTTTTTTGGTATGGATAAGAATGGCGACACTGTGCCTTTAAAGAACGGTTCCTTTTCGTCTACCAGGAAGTTCCTGGGTATTACGAGCATTAATAACGCAAATAACAAAAGAGAAACTTACATGATAAGCTGACGATAAAGATATGTCCCTTTCATTTGCTAATGTATACAGCTCACTGGCTTCCTTCTTTGTCAGTTGAAAATCCCTGAGATTGAGAGAACAAAGCTGAGGAATACTTCTGAGACACTTGATTAGTTCAGTCACTCCGCGGCCCAACGGATTTCCGCCAAGCTCAAGGTACTTCAGTTCTGGTACGTAGACGAGTACATGGACTAAAGCTGTGACTTCCTCTTTACCCATCTGTGTATTATCCAGGTACAGCCCTTGCAGATGAGGTACATTGTGCAGGTGTTTGGCAAGTTCACTTATCCCGTGACCAAGTGGGTTGTATGATAAGGATAGGTGTCTCAGAAAAGTTACACTGTGTAAACCATGAGCTAAAGCTGTGACTTCCTCTTCACCCATTTGTATATTAAACAGCCACAGCTCTTCCAGATAAGGTACACTGTAAAGGTGTTTGGCAAGCTCACTGATCCCGTGACCGATTGGGTTACATGATAACCTCAGTAAGCCTAACTTAGGAACATACTTTAAAGCAGTGGCAAGTAACTGACACTCTTGATTCCCCATACCAACATTCCATAAATGGAGCACAGATAGTCGAGGCACATGGTGAAGATTATTCAGTAAACTGACAAGTTCACTTGTTGGGCCCTGAATTTCAATGTCACTCAAATATGACAGAGAGTGGGTCAGAGTCTGGTCAGATGTTTTTTCAGTTAAATCCAAAGAGTTGCAAATATCATGATTCTGTAACACGTGATCAGGCTCTTGAAGAGAAGACTTTGATGCTGATGTTGATGATCTATGCAGTTCAATGAATTTCGCACTGGTCAGTCCTCCGTGATAAAGGCGATATGCAAAGAACACTAATCGATGTCCAACTTTCTTAATGAAACACGGGTAAGGGACTCCATCGTGGTAAGCAGGGTAAGTATTCACGGATTGTACTTCACCATAACATGTCACAAAAACAGCATCCAAATCGGACATGACAGAGAACGTTTGATCAGGCCCAAATCTACTATTAAATACCAATGGTTCCTCACATGTAAAAAATACATAATCTGGCTTAAGGGAACTTGTTGATCTCAAACAATGTTCTCTAGCAACTGCAGGCAGTTCATTATCAACATTTATTATTATAACACCGTTAATACTTTGTAGAAACGAAGGATAGACAGCTTGCCTTTCTGATGTGGGGCAGGAAAGGAACAATTCGAGACTGATATGATAAAACTTTCTTTGTTTTTCTGTGAGTTCCGTAACAGAAGGGTTTTCACAGAAGTTGTAACCTGCCAGACCTTCTTTTTCTCCTATCATCTTCAGATGACGAAAAACAGCAACGGTAGCTTCTGATGACAACCCAGACACAAATTCGAAAACTTCAAACAGCTCCGTAAAACGTTTAAATGAGTCGACCATAGACAGACAGTTGAAGGATTCCTTGGCATTTTTTAATTCACGAACTAAAAACCAAGCGGAAAGGAATTCTTGCACCGATTTATGAAGAAAGAACGCCAGTTTCTCAGGATGAGGAGAGTCTGAAAGATTAGAAGTCTGTAGAAAGCCAAAATCGATAAACTTTTCAAGGAATAACCTAATGTCCTTAGACAAGTTGCTGAGCTCGAAATAAAGACAGTCATTTAAAAGTCCCTGCCAGGCAAGTTCCCCTAACTTAACGAGGTCTTCTCTGTATTCATCCAAGCTCCTAAGTGTCTCATCTGATGTTTTGGCGGTAACGTGATCAAGCAGCGTCTGACAAAATTTGTAATACAGGTCTGAGCGGGATGTTAATGGTCCTTGATATTTCTTCCAGCTTAGAACCAACATTAACAGTAGGAGTGGTATTTCCGCCAAGCGCAACAGGCCGCGTCCAAATAGAAATTCTGTAAACTTGTTTACTTCTGTTTGATCACGAAGGAACTTGAGAGCAAACTTTTCAATTTGCCAAAGACGAAACCCATAAATTTCAAACTGAGCATGACTCCCTGGTCTTAACTCATCTTTTTTCAGCGGTCGCGTTGTCACAAGAAGAGTGCAATCTCTCAACTGACTACCTTTCCAAATCAGATGAACTGGCGATGATTTTTCGGCGCTGTATTCATCATAGCCGTCGAAAATAAGTAGGACTTTCTGTTGATTACGACGAATGTAATCATACAACTGACCAAAAACCACAGAGTCGTCAGCAGACAATAGTTTGGCCTTCTTTAGCACAGCACAGAAGTCTTTCGTGTTGTAAACATCTCGGAGCTTGATTAAAAGTACAACAGCAAACTTCTTTAGGATTTCTTTATTACCTCTTGACCAGTCCACGACAAGTTTCTTTGTCAATGTTGACTTTCCTATTCCTGGCCTCCCATACACTAAAATTCTCTTAGGAGTTTGATGATGACCATGGCTTGCGAATATCTCACTGTAATCTTCAAGCTCTTCTTGTGTTGTTCCAGCAAGTTTTCTGTCATCTCTTAGCAGTGTTAACTGCACATGCACCTCATCAATGTCCATGGTGTTATCCCGGTCCCAAGGAGTAATCATTACCTGGTTCGCGGTACTGTTGTAGAATGAACACAGCTGACTTTGACTCCACTCCAAAAAGGCAGCATCTGTTTATAAAAAGGTAATTCTCTTAAATCTTTTATCCTATTCTAGGAGTAGTAGGACTGAGTTGATTGAACAGTTTTGTGGTAGCAGTGACAATAGGGAACTTAAGAACCACCACGACGACTTTGTCGACGACGACCGGAAGTGAGTTACGGAATACTGCGCAAGCGCGACCAGTAAATTTCGTCGTCGTGGTCTCGTCGACGACGCCAAACAAAGTAGAATCACGTCGTCCTGCAATCCACAAGCCTTGGCAGGTATAAATCCACTGTTTTAAGCGATTTTTGAAGTCCTTTGCATTTTCTTATCCTCTTGAATCCAGGTATCGTTCCTTTTTTCTCCTAGCAAGCGATGTTGATTTAAACTTCGACTAATGAATTGTTTTTACCGCTTCGAAGAATGACAACAGCTGTGGAGGCCGAGCGAGCGAACTCGTAAGTGATAAATTTATTTGTGCGTATTTAGGTAAGACAAATCATGTATCTTTAATATAGAGGAGGAAATAAACTTTATATGGAAAACAGCTATCACATCAGAATGTCGCTTTTTCCAAATCTAAACTCTGACAGGCACTCGGACTCGGTCATCTCATTCAGGTCGAAAGTTGAATAATCTTTGTACGGAAAGCAGGTGTTTTTCCACTCGTAAAGGTCAGACAACTCAAAAAATTCTCCATCGTCCATGAAATTAGGCGCACGGCTTAAAAAATAAGATCTTGCGTTGTTTTAAAAGACGCCATTGCGAAAAACTTTGTTGCGAACGAACATCACAGTTTACATTTGTGTTTACATTCAGTGTCGTCGTCGTCGACCTACCGACCGACTGCATCTTAAGTTTCCTTTTTCCCGTCGAAACTGACGTTCTCGTTCCAGTCTTTTCCCAGTCAACAGACGTCGTCGTCGTGAACTCCGTCGTGGTTCTTAAGTTCCCTAATGGCAGTTTACCTAGTACGGTCATTTTCATCTAAGCGTGGATATTTTCTCTCAAGAATTGATTATAGGGCCTAATAAGGTTAACACTGGAGCAAGATAATTCTGCATGTGTTAAGCTTATTACCAAGTTTTAAACCGACGGTTTAATTGCGAGACTGACTTGTTGAACAATTTTTGAGATAATCAGGGACTTGTCCGAAATTAGCAGGGGGGAGGGGGGGAGTGGGAATTTTAAATTTGGGTTCGGAAATTAGGTGACCCATCCCTTCAATGGGAGTGACATTTGCTAACCCTCCCCTTAAGCTTGGCCTAAAATATCATGACCCTCCCCACCTTACAGAATTGAAAGAATAATGTTACAGGCTCTTTAAGGTGCAGTATTCCAAGCCAACAAGAAAAAAGGAAACAAAGACAAAATAAAAGGAAAGCAAAAAAAGCTAGGGCAAAAAGAATGGAAGCTAACTGCAAAAAAGTTATTGAAACCATTGCACCTCAGCAAGAGTCGCATAATGTTACAGAGCCTATCGGCCCATTATCTCTTCATTATGAAGGAATAAGTGGGCTCCTAAAAACACAAAGGCCATATATCCAATATGCCTTTGAGAAGGGTTGTTCACCAATGAATCACAGGACATTATCAAGCAATATCTACCCTTCAACTTAAATGAAAATCATGATGATGATGAAAGTGATTGATCAATGCTGATGACATAAATGATGATGATCGAGATGCTCACAGCAGCATTGATGGTGACGCTGAAGACAGTGATGAAAAGGATAGCCAAAACTCTAATAACATTAATAACAACATTATTCATAATAAAAATGCGATAAGACTCTATAGCATTGCCGTGTAATAAATGAAAAGTAGATGTTTGTTAAATTCTTGCAATAGTACTTCACAGTTTATATCCATAATGTTCCATTGTTCTTTAATTTTTTTCTTTTTTTGTACTAAATAAGGAACTTCCTTTTTCTTCTGCAGGTGAACCTCTTCCATGATCACGGGCCTATATTTGCATGACCCTCCCCCTTTTAACGGCCCATTTTTCATGACCCCTCCCTTTTCTGAGTCTCAAAAAGTTGTGACCCTCCCTCTGTTTCCACCCCCCTCCCCTGCTGCTAATTTCTGACAAGTCCCTCAGTATAGATTTCAAAACTTTCACACTACAGTTAGTTTACACTGTACTAGCCTCCCCTTCCAATTTAGTATTAGAAAATCAAAATGTCATGATGATTAACTCGAAACAAATTTTGCCCAATTAATAGCTAATGTACACAACAACCCTGACATGAGAGTTCCAAAAACATTTACCATGACGAAAAACAAAAAAACAAAAAAAATTAAAACTAAAAAAGAGAAAGAAACAAGAAAACAAGAGGAAGGGAAAATGAACGGAAAATGTATCTTATTGTAACATATTGGACTGCTTACAAGTACAATGTACATGTAGCATTAAACATTCAGGCCCTGTCCACATGAATGTGGATATTTCTAAAACCACACATTTTCTTTATCACAAAACTGCACTTAACCTCAACACTAAATCAGTGAATCCGCTCATTCATCTGCATCCTATCCATGTACAAAAAAAATGTGGTTTCAAAGAATATCCGGATTGGTGAGGACTGGGGACATAAATTGATACCTGAAGGACTTGGTATTTGTTCCTTTGATCTGTTGGCTGAGCTCTGCTCTGATATATCTTCAACAAAAAGACAACTCTAACTTACATTCAAGAAATCTACTAGAAATAACTTCTACTAATAATGTCACTAGAAGTGCATATCAAGTGTAGTTTTAACACTTGAAAAAAGAAATATACACATGTAGCTTTGTGGTCAGCTCAATACAACTACTGGAAAAAACTGACTCATCAGCTAAGAACACTTGGTGGCGGTTGTTCAACCTAAAAAGGTTCTTCTAATCTATACCCTACATGTATTTTACAACAAAATCCACAACTTTTTTGGTTCAGTTACATAACTGTAATTTAATCTCTTTTTGGTTTAAAATGACAAGAGGTCTCTTCTAATCAATGTTCTTACAGTTTGTAGGTTCCTTGAAGAAACCATGACAATAATCTAGACCAATATAATCAAATTCAATTAAAAAGCTGTTTTAAACAGACAAAGATGTCATGTGTGGCACCTACCCTATAATGCAGTGTTGAGCTTATGACGACATCAAGGAAGTACACTGTAACACACCCCTAGTTTCCGTAAAACAACATGACAAAAAGGGACATAACATTATGTGAAATATTTACCTTGGTAGTGAGGCCATGAACAAAAAACACAGGGCTCACTCAAAATGTGTGCGACAAGAGATGCTGCCATCACACTGGCACAGGAAGACCAACTCGCTGAAGGCAACTGAGAACCATCTGCGTAATCAGCTATCCCTTTTACAATTAACCACTCAATTTGACAGTCAAATGCTGCTGTAAACACTCCTATAGAACAACAAAGAAAATGGCACTTGAGTTAAAGTTGAAGACGGTCCAACATCAATATAGCTTACATTATTTTGCCTAACTTTCTATAAAAAAGAAAAAAAAAACGAAGCTCACTGGAGTTGGAAGACAGATGAAAAATGTAGAGGATGTGAACTGTACTGCCTCCTTCCCAGTCGTGTCAGTTTGGATTGAGGTTATGGGCAGCTCGTGGCTTTGCTCTGGCGGACATGCTTCAGGCACGTATTAGTGGGTTTACGCAAAAGGACGCAATACACGTATGCGTGACAAACGTGACAAGGCTATTACTTGCGTGTTTTGTAGAGATCTTCGCTTAACATTCATGTTTTCTGGTCTTTTACAAAAAGATCTGTTTAAAGGAAAGTGAAGTTTGGCAAAACGTTATTTGAAACAAAATTACTGTCACACTTGTCACACAAGGTTTGCTGTCTTCTTTCCTCTCCTGTTCACTATTACGGCCTCCATTCTTCAGTGGTGAGTTGCTTTTAGTTTTTATTGCAAGGGAGTTTGGGGTTGGTGCTTAATGCCCTTGGGGGGACTAGGTCCTGTGACTCGATCCCCTGTTCGCTGTCCCCCCTTTTTTTTCAAGCACCTGTAGACTGGTTTAGGTAGGTACCACTCACAGGGTTGTCATGGTTACCATCCAAGCTCACTTGCAATGCCTTTCAGTTTCACCATGCACCTTCCCCACACCCATCTATTGCCGTTGGGTTAATGTGGCTAAATGTAATTTAGGCAGCAGTCTCCATGCATCACTAATCGAATATGGGGTGGTCTTGGGCTTAAGAATACAGTGAAACCTCTTTTAAGCAGACCCCCAATTAAGCGAACACCCTCTGTTAAGCAGACACTAAGCCAGGTTCCGAAATTAACGTCCTATATTTTCCTTTACAAGGAACCTCTATTCAGTGAACACCTCTATTAGGCGGACGTAGACACTAAAATGAATTGTATTTGGATAATTTCTATTGTCGAAAACCTCTAGTAAGCGGACACCGAACTGAAATGTCAATAGCACAATTAGATTACGTCCTTGAAATGTGTAATGTAAAAGTTAATGTTTTTGCATTTGGAAGCAAATTAAAGTTGGTAATGGAAGGTAATGAAGTTGAACTCTGGATAACTTCTTTAACAACATGCAACTTTATCACAGTACAGAGTAACCGTTGAATGTTAATCGTTGACAAACATTGCGCAATTCTTACAAACCTCTACTAAGCAGACACCCTCTATTAAGTGGACACTTGGGAAGAGGTCCTGAAGGTGTCCGCTTAATAGAGGTTTCACTGTATTTTACAGCACTTTCCCTATAGTCAATCATTTTGCTCATGTTGCTATGTTGCTTTCGCATTTTTTGCTCCCAGCCCTTCCTTCCCTTTGGATGTTTTTTGGTATGTATCTGTGCATTTCTCCACTGAAGGTCTCAGAGTGACAGTGCCTGGTCGGTGCCACTCATAGGGTTGTCATGGCTACCTTCTAGGCTCGCTTGCAACTCCCTTCAGTTTCACCAGGCACCTTTCCCACACGTATCTTTTGTTTTCTTTGGGTTTAATTTGCAGATATAACATTGTTGTAATTGTAATAGCAATCTAAGCAATGATTGCAAATTAACCTGAAAAAAAATTAAGGAGGGGAGGGGAGCTTCAAGGGAATTTGAACCCATAGCCTCTCTGTTAGCATGACAGTGCTCTAACAACTGAACAATAAAGACCCATAAATTGGGAGGGCAGCCCCATCTTTTCAGCGAAAAAATTATTATAATATGGGTGTATTAAACTCGAACAAGCAAACAATCGGCGCAATGACTTGAGATCAACACTGAATCAAAAGCAACCAACATATCTATAGAGTTAAAAGAGACCTGACTGCATGCACTTCCTAAGGCTGGCTGCATATTAAAAAGTCTACTCACCTTCTCCTTCATTTTCTATTGCCATAGCCTGAGGATTGGTTTCAGCAAGTTGATCACGCCGCCACTCAGCTCTGATTTGTTCCGGTCCACTCAAAAACTCAGCATCAGTATAAACTTGAACGTGCTGAGCTTCAGGATCCTGCAAAGGTGCTTGCCAGCCATCAGTACAATTTTTAATGACATTCAGAAAGCGTTTGCTCACATAACTTCTCATACCCGTTGACTGCTCTTGATTGCTGGTCACTACTTTCGATGCATATGTTGCTAATTTCGCAGACACAACAACATCTCCTAACTTGGATTTTGCAGGATCTAGGCCACTACATGTGCCTACAGAAATAACTGCTTTGGGTCTTAGCACAGAGGATGCATTCTTTACAGACACAAGAGAACCACCAGGACCAATACCATTTCTGTAACATCTTAATAAAGCAACTTTCAACTCCTCTTGACTTTCACCCACATCAGAAAAGTAAACATAGCCAAGACCATCAAACCAACATCTATAGGGGTTTTTTAGCTCACTATAACAAGCTAAGAACTCACAGTTTGTAACTGTAAGTAACAGAATGTCAACAGGCAGATCAGCATCTTTTGAAGGTTTGGTTATTGCCTTAATATCAGTGGAGGATGGAAGACCTTTATTAAGCTTAGGAGGGTCCCCTTCAGGGTTGCTTCTATCATCTTTAGATGGGACTCCAGTTATAACCTGGACTGTGATGTCATCACAGCTGCCATCCTGTGAAGATTCTGACATCTCGGATCCTAACCATTGCATAAAAAACATAACATTAACAAAAACTACAGCGTATATGATACATTGCGGTGAATAAACATCAATTAGTAGTCTAATAAATTAAGGTACGAATCATTTGGTGGAGGAATTTCAAAATTAACTGCACTTGTGAATATCAGATGTGGCCTATGGAAGAGAGCAAGGAGAAGCTCTAGGGCTTCGTACACTGATTGCCACAGTCGTTTACAATGTCTCCAGCCATGGGTGTCGATCTCAACTTGAGAATTGTTGGTGCATTAACACACTCACAGCTGAAGACCAAGTCTCTTAAGCTGTTGTGAACTAACATAATTATTTTACAAGCATGAGCAAAATATAGTGATTTGTCAGTACAAGGTGGTGAGCAGATGAATTATTCAGCATGCATGGGCAATAATAAATAGACATTGAAAAATCATGTTATTTTGCGAAGCCGAGTTTAACAGTCATTTTAGACTTGAAGTGAGTTTGTTACACCTTGTAACAAGGAGTCTCAAAGACACATAACAGTGACAGTACCAAAAACTATGGTTTTAAAATGATCCATTACCCTGCTGAATCTACATTTAACTAGGAGACTATAGAGATTTTCGTATAATATGTAAAAAACGAGGGAGAATGTTTCATCATGGGTTCCAAACACCAAGAAACAGATGAAAGCACAAGGCCGTGATGTCTTCTCAGATGAAACAATAAGAAATTATGCTGTGAAATGTTTTCTCTGGTATTTCATTGTTTCCATGAGTTGTGTTAATCAATAAAACACCATTAAAATGCAAGTGTTTGATCTCAGATAAAAAACACGTTTTACCTCAGATGATAACCTGGTGGTGTTTTACCTGGTGTTTCATAAGGTATGAAGATTCATGATCATCCACCTGACCCAAATGGTTGTCATTTATTGGCTTTTGACTGCATGATCATGAATAATTAACGAGTTTGAAAAGTAATATATAAAAAATGACAGGCACGGTTTCATCTGATATCCAGACACCGAGAAGTGGTTTGAAAAACGAGGCGTAGCAAAGTTTTTAAAGACCGACTTCGAGGTACACGTGTCTCCATCAATCATTTATGGTACAATTCTTGGGGAAAGTCAAAGATAAATTTCGCAAAATTTTATGATAATAATTATCTGATATCCAAACCACCGTCACGGTAAGTTGTGATTTTCTTTGTTTTCTCTTTACGAACACGTTTGAGAAATTATTTTTCTGCGACCACAGGAACCAACACTGCGCATGATCAGATCAGTTTAATTAGTGCGTTATGTCATCTGAAATGTTCATTTGACATGTATGAATTAAATGCAATTCGCTACTTCTACATATGATACAGCGGATAAGACATGCCTTGTACCCCCGCCTCACTCCAGACAAATTTTGCATAGGAATTAAAAAGAGAAAACAATACTTTGCCAAATTATGGGTGGTAACCAAGGTGTATTATGGGCAATATAAAAGTGGCCTATACACTGAACCGTACAATATTTAAAGCTCAACCTAACCTAAGAGCAGACCCAAGACTCCGTGTTACAAAATATTCACTGTCATGACGTACGTTATGCTCTCTTTTGCAAAACAATGCACACTAACACTACATTCCTCCATAGTAGAAAAATACATTTCATTTTGCTAAATTATCCTGCAAACTTGAACAAGTATTTTAAGCAATGATTTAATTAGGTTTTTACGGCAAGTAGGTTTGTCCACACTCGCAATGCTCAGAAAACACGGGACTGTAGGTATTTTGACTGCCATTTGCATGTTTACATAGGAATTTCAGTTTGCATTCACTTCAAGAACTGTAAAAAAACTATTAAATCAAAAACTGTAAAAAAACTATTAAATCAAACACATGAAAAAAGATATTCCAGACCCATTCTAAGACTCATTAGTAATTCATGAAGAGAAAACATTAAGAAGATCACAACTGTGACGTTGGTTTGGATATCGGACAGTGGTGGATCCAGGGAAGGAGCCCAGGGGGCCCAGGCCCCCTTCTTATTTTTAGACCAAACTGACAAGGCCTGAATGGCAAAAAAAAATGTTTTGGGAGACCGCTCCCCTATCTAAGGTCTGGATGACCGGGCCCCCCTTATCTCAAGGTCTGGATCCAGCACTGTCGGATACTAAATACCATAAAATTTTACAAACTTTAATTATCTTTGAACACATATACAATGCAATGATTTTTCATAAATGTTTTGTTATTGTCCCGAGAGACTGAAAAAGGTTCGTTTTACCACCCTCAACCTTGTAGTGAAAAACTTGGGAACGAGGCTAGACAGGTAACTAAGCTACTTCAGTTTCTCGGGACAAAATGGGTGCTGTGTGGCAAAGGCCCATCAACGGCTCTTACAGACTATAAGGACTCAGGTCACTGACTATAATCTATTTCTTTACCTGCTGTTTTTGAGTGATCTCTATCAGCAGACTCTTGTTTTGAAATAACATCTGTAACAGCAAAAAGAATAAATTTGAACAAGACTGAAAATTTACAAGTCATTGTATTTGCTGACATTGAGGGGGATTATTGAAAAATGCATATGCAGGTATCAGAGCATAGGAACATATTTACTTACTAGTTAACCCTTTAAGCCCCAATATCCACATACAAATTCTCCAAGCTGATCGCCATACATTTCCTTACAGAATTAGTTGAGAGAATTTGAGAAAAGATCAGAGCATTTTCTCTTTGGTGATCATTTAATTAATTCTCATAACCTAATCTCTTGACATTGTATGGATATCGTTAGGAGAAAATTGATGTTGGTCACTATTGGGACTTAAAGGGTTAAAGCCCTAAGCATAATACACATATACTCTATTATAAAAGAGGAAACACAATAGACCTTGTCACGGTTTTCGACGCCATCTTGATGAGTTGGCAAATGTGTGAGAAATTACAGTGCTTGTATGACAATCCAATGTCGAATAATTCCGTAAAATGGCTGTTCTGGAAAAAATATGAACTGTAAACTAAAGCTACACAGCAAAGGATTTTACCAACGAGTTTTGGGGGTCGTTACTGTACTTAAATTTCTCCAAAAGCTTGCTTTAGCTTTTCCATTTATTTGTCTGCACTTTTTGCTGGAAAATTTTTAGAGACAAATGTATAGAAAATTTTTAAAAAAGGTTCTAGGTCTTCAAGCACATGTAACGCCCTAAAATTCTTTCAGTAGAATCCTTAAGAGTGAAGCTTTAGTTTACAGTTGATATATTTTTTAAAACAGCCGTTTTACGGAAATCATTCGACATTAGATTCTCGTACAAACACTGTAATTTCTCACGGAGTTTGGCTACTCGTCAAGAGGGTGTCAAAAGCCGTGACAAGGTCTATAGTAGAAATTATAGTTAGCCTGCTATCATTGGAGTTGCTATCACAAGTTATGCACCTATCAATGTAAATCCCGTGAGGGGGGAGTGCGGGCAAGGGGCAGGGATTTGATGCCTGAGACTATCCCCTTTGTCGGGCTTTTGATCGTGTGAAGCGACCCCGGGGTGGGGACATTTGACTTTGACCGACAGCATTCCTCAGAGACCTAGGGGCAGATAGTGGGGGCGAGGAAAAGTCTAAATGGGCGGAAAAATAAGGCACGAATAAAAGGAAAGAACGGCCAGAAGAGCCCCTGGGGACAACGTCTTACCAGACCAGTTCCAAACGGTCGCTGCCGTTCTGGCTTCTGATTGGTGCCAGAAAAACACAAGTTTTCTGGCACCAATCAGAAGCCAGAACGCAGCGACCGTTTGGAACTGGTCTGGTAAGACATTGTCCCCAGGGGCTCTTCTGGCCGTTCTTTACTTTTCTTTCGTGCCATATTTTTCCGCCTGTTTAGACTTTCCCTCGCCCCCACTATCTGCCCCTGGGTCTCCGAGGATGGACCGACAGAAGCCTGGTATCAGTTCAGAAGCGGTTACCAAGTCTGTCCCTCGAGGCTTTCTGAAAGTCACGCTGTTGGAGAAAGGTGTGAAGCTTTCATTTGTTTTAATCGCCATAATCCGATACTTTAAACTGTCATCTAAACAGATAATGTCTATTTTGTGAAAGTTTTTATCTTCAAGTTCCCATCTAATTGTAAAACTCGATTGAAATCGAATTCCACCATGAAAGTCAGAGAATTTTTTGCGGGTCACTGATCCGACCTGTTCCGACATGTTAAGCAGATGTTATAAAGCATTGAACATTTCATCAATATTATAATAGCACGGTCAATCTTCCTGGAGGGATTTTGTTGTTCAAAATAAGAGATGCTAGTGGGGAGAGAAAATACTTAATTACAGCAAGTAATTTAACAGAGCTTACATTAACCTTTATTAAATAAAAGTAGTAAGAACGTACTCTTGGAATGTTCTTTTATTTGTTTTATATAGTATTACAGTATTGTTTATTTAAATTTTTTCCCCCTGGGGTGGGGGCTTTTTTGACACTTTTGATTGACCTTTCGTTTCCCACCCTGGGGAATTTGATAAAAAAATTTCAAAATTTGTCAAATCCCCACCCCCCCTCCCCATGGGGTTTACATTGATAGGTGCATTATTTTGCTGCTGCTAGATCGCTATTTTTTGCTACTTTTGGTGTGAGTCGTCGACCAAAGTAAGTCTTTTATTTTCTTATAGTTATTTAGTAACGTAATTAACGAAACTATAGAGTCTTACAATATTTCATGAGGAGGACATTGATTTGAAGGCAAATCTTCTGGAATCAAACAGGATTGATCATTGTTACTATACATATATTAACAAAGTATTTTATATAATCTAGTTTAGTGTTTTTAAGATAAGTTTTGTTCAAACGGAATCGCTATGATAGTTTTTTGATTGTTTTATACATGGTGAGAGTTGAATATTATTGTCTCGGTTAATCAGCTCAAGTATCAGTTATCGGATTTTTCAGTTGTCTGTATCTTGCATCATAGGTTTATATCATTTAGATTATTCCACCTTTTAGTCTTAATCTTATAGTTAATGTAAGTAGTAATCGTATTCTTTAATTATCGCTTTCAGTTCCAACCTACATCTACGTCTACGTTTGTTACATCGATTACGTCTGCTATTACTACTACTCACTACTACTGCCATCTGTTACGTCGTAACTAGCCTACAAACATTGCTATTATATTGAATTATTGTACACGCGACTGCTATTGTTATGAACTCTAAGGATGTCATTAAATCTGCTTTAATATTCTATCACGTGGAGTTCGAATCATCTATAGCCTCGCACCGTGCTACCCCTGTTTTTGTTGAGATTTGGATTATTCACAACCTCCAAAATTTCAGCAATTACAAATATAACGTTGTGCCTTAAACTCTATTGCATTGTCAGTACAAATTTGAGGCAATTTTACTTTATTTTAAATTTTTCACTTGCAAACGACGCTCGGCGTCTAATGACTTTCATTCCAACTAATATACCCTTTACAATTTTAAAAAGTAAATTATGCTGCCGGCGGGTGGGCCAGCAGCAGAAGTAAATAAAAATGGTAACTGATAACTATATTAAGACAACTACAATTCAATAAGTCCCTTGCTTGATCAAAATAATAATTTACAGGAAGGTGCTCTTTAGTAAGTGAGGCGGTGTTGAGGACTAAATGTTGAAAGCATGGTGGTAACTCACCTGTTAAAGGAAGGTTTTCCTCCTTCTTCTCCTTGTTATGGTCTTCTTCGATATTTCCTATCAATAGATTTGATAGCTTGACATCCTTTGATTTTGCTACATGAATTATGGACATTACACAGAATACAATGGATACTGAAAAGACCACAATAATAGCAATGTTGAGGTCTGATTTCTCTTTGTATCGTAAGTCGCTGCATGTGAGCGTTGTATTTGCTGAAAAGCAACTATACTCCTCAGGATATTTAAGTTTCTGGTAATGCAAGAACAGTCCTATCATGACAACTAGAAGGACAATCTGAATGCAGATGTGAAAAATAAACTTCCGTAAAAATAGTTTCTCCAACTTCTTTTTTGTCTCTCCATCGTTCTCTTTATGGATGCGTCGCAAGTTCAGGGCACCTAGCAGAGTAACCAACAGCCAGCCACATCCTGACAAACCAAAGGTAATACCAGCAAAATTCAACGGTGTTAAGAGTGGACTCATGGCAGAAGTATAATTGTTATAACAACGCTGTGTTTTGAATTTAATTACTTCGGGCATACAGTTGAATTGCAGCCTGTCTTTGCTTTCATAGTCCTTAAGTTGACCAATAATATAGGGCCAGGCAGCCACAGACAATACCAAAAGAAAGCCACTGAATATGGTCTGAGACCTAAATGCAGCTTTGACGAGATCCATCACAAAGAAGGATCAGGTAATCTGAAAGAAACAAAGAATTGACACATATTAAGTTTAGAACCATGGGTAAGATAATTTGGTTATCTCATGTGCATCCAAGAAATTGAACCAAGTGATCTTATGAATAAATGAATGTGCCAGTCTTAACTATTGAATTTGCAATGGCTTAACAGCTAGCAGAGTGCATTTAAAATTAAATCTACAATAATGTAGAATATTGCCGACCTGACCAATACATTTTGGTGGATGGAACCCGTAGACTGACATCTGTACTGCCTAAAATCTTTTAGGCATGTGGGCAACTTCGCCATTTGCGGCACACGTGATGTTTAAGCTCTCTTGTTTTTGGCTTATAAAATTTTCGAAAACAAATTTTCTGTCAAAAAAAATATTTCAAACGTGTTGCCAACAAAGTACGTCAAATTGTGCATCCAAATGCTTTCAATTGATTGAATTAAACCAGAGGAAATTAATGAACATAAGCAGATTCCAGTTGAATGAGAAAAAAATCATGACAAATAACAAACTTCAACTTCAACCATGTGAACAAATAAATTTTGTTTTTAATTCTTTTTTAATGCCTGCATTTTTTTCTGGAAACCTTTTATCAGCCCACTTTCTAATCTGAGAAATTAAGCTTACAATGAAGTTTAATTGTCTCACACCTTTTAACTCTCATGGTTTGACTGTGAGACTCATGGATTGGGCTGTCAACTCATGGACTCACAATTTAGCCTTCAAATCTCATGGGATCGACTATAAGAAAATCTTAAAGCTGCCAGAAAATTCTGGTAGGAGTTGCATAATTTCAAAAAATCAGGCTTCAAAATACATGTATAAATTTGTATCAATCTAATTTTCGGGGGAGAAACTCAGGGTTCAATTGTTCCAATCTCATTCCCGTGAAACATTGGATTAGCTAAGCTTTATGGCAAATTCAAATGTCCTATCGACATGGATTAGTGAAACAAAATCTCAAACTAACTTAGAGACTTCAGGACCTCCCAGCTTCAGAAGAAAAGAAAATCAGCAGCTGGAGTAGCCATTGCAAATATTGTAAAACAATAATTATTAGGGAAAAGAATACTATGACAAAATATTCTGCCTTTTACTTTCAGTTTTATTTGACCAATGTTTTTGAAATCTCCAC